TTGCTCTTTTCTAAAAATGAGGAATATGCTCATGAGCTATAAATATCAGCCCAATTCTCAAAAGTCTTGTGAAATGATCTTAGTGTTCCGAAATGATATCTTTTTTCATTAATTAGGCAATAATTCTAAGTTAATTAATGACCATCGGTTTGATAAAAAGTCCTTATTATACGGTTCTCTGTAAAATAAGGTCAAATTTTAGAAATTTCATATATTAATTACTACTGCGAAGAACAAAGAATTAATTATCCTTCAGGTCATATTCAGATACATAGTGCCAATTGACGCCTATTTAATGGACATTTCAAAGGCCAATTACTTGGACGGTATTTAAAAACAAATTATAAATAACTAATAAGGATTGACGTAGCAGAAAATTAAATGTCTAATAGGTTAGTATCAATCTGTTTGAAACCGCCTAATTCAAATTTAGCAGAACATGCCTACGATGTATAAACTGGAAGTGCTTTCCGTAAAAACGAAGAAATCGGTATGGCAGTCTAGACAAGTGTGGGACACGTCATCGCCTAACGCGTGATCGCATGCACGCACAACCAAAGACCAATCAGAAGCCTTCGTTTGTTTAAACGACTCTGCCATGTTGATTATGACTAGCCCCAGAGAGTGTACACTTTTACCACAATAGACTGTCCAAGTAAACATGTTCCATGCGATACGTCTGTTTCCTCTATAGCTGGACTGTAGCCTGGCTAGTTCTTGGAGTCTAGGTAGATAGAGGAGAATCTGCCACAGAGATTTCTGAGTCAGTCAGGCTTTACTGGTGTGTGGCAATCCGCTACAGAAGTCACCAGATTTCAATAAATTAGATGTCATTTCTGAAAAGAGTAAAGTGAAAACTGTATTTGACTGAATTCTGAGTTTTTTTGTTTAAGAATATTTAATTAACTATAAGAAAGTTCGTGAAATAATAAAAACAAGTTTCCACAAATGGAGCTGAATTCAAAACAGAATTTCTTAGAGATTTTCGCTCACTCTAAATAGTTTCCTATTATAATGAAAATAATTTTTACAAAGTCAAGGAACTCATTCAATTGTGTCGTTTAAATTTTTACAATCTTATTATAAATATCGCTTTTGATAGAATAAGTAGGATGCCGCGTTTAATGAGAATACGAATATCACAGTGGCCATTAAGTTAGAACTAACGTTATTAACGAAATGTATTCATGAAACTAATTCATTAGCCACTTTATAACTGTTATTGTAGTGATATTTTAATATTTTATGCCACAGTTAAGACACATAATATCTTCTATTTTTCCTTGGAGCAACTTATTCGAGAATTCGAATGGACTTGGGACTAAATTTCCCATATTAAAAAAACTGAACGTGCAATAGTTTGCAAGCCGATTAAAGTGGAATATTCAAATCTCGTGTCAAGGTTAGAAAAACCTTTCAGGCCTCCCGTTTACCTACCCCACCGCCTGGTTCCTTAAATTGCACCTTCAAGTAGCCTTGGGAAGTACTATTTAAACACAAAAGCCCTCCAACGTTTAACCGTCAAGAGTAAAATTTTTAAATTATATTCACTGACATAGGTAAGATGACAAGATCAATTAAATAACTCGTTGGAACTGATTGCTTTATTTAATAAAGGGAGTGGTTAGAACTTATTTGCAAAATAGTTACAAGTATATCTGGAATTGGAAGCATAATTGATTATTCAAAGTTGATAAGGAAGACAGAGACTGAAGTCAATTAGGCTAAAATTGAGTGCGTTCACTTTTGGTCTTCTCTCTATATACTCTATGTGATTTACATGAAATAATTCCATTCTCGCCTATGGCGATTTTTTTATAAACTTCTCAATCACGAATCCGTATGACCACCTTTGGCACCCATTTCTCAGAGATGATTTACAATATTAAAAGTTTTAAAATTCATATTTACCGACAATAAAAACTTCTCATTATTTCTCCGGGAAGAGTTGGATGTGAATGTGGTTGCATGATTACTCAACCGCATCAACACGATTGCTGTGTCCGACAAAGGCGATCTTTAAACTAACATGACTCAGCAGTGCTCGGGTGTTCATTTGAAATTAGTTTTTCACGACACTTGATTTGGAGTGGTAACAGGAGAGGCGGTGACTGGAAGTCACAGAAATGCTGGAATTACTGGGCTTGGAAAAATGTACATTTTTTCTATGCCAACACCAGTGGTTTATTTTCTAAGTCAGTTTTACTATTTAACTTACATAATTTACCCTCTCCACCCGATCGAATTCCCAACATTTAAAGCTTAATAACTATTTCTTTAACTTTATTTAATTTTTTTCCCTAATTTCACGTCGATATAGTGAAAAATCAATTGCATTAAAATGGTTTCAATTGATTTTTTGTTATAGTAAATACTACATTAGCATGAACATACTCTCAATGGGACAATTAGCATGTTTGTTTAAGGCAAATTGCTGTTCTAAACATTCAAATTAAAATAACCTTATTTTTAATTACTACTTAAATATTTAAGTAACATTTATTTGTATATAAATTTACAAAAGTAGCAATAAGATTCTTGATCTGCGATTTTATTCAGCAAGTTATAAAGAATTTTTACGACGTGGCAATTAAATACGAATTTGACGAATAAAAATGTTATCTCTTATTGTTGAGGAGAATAAATTGGAATTATGGATATTTTTTATGTAAAGCATAAGTTAACATCTAAACATGGTAGGATATTTGGAATATATTATTTTTGATTGCGAACGTTAATTTAACATTTTCGTCAAGGCATAAATACCACTGCTGAGCCAATTGCGACAGCATCCCCCATCTCAATCTCAAGTTGTATAAGCTGCCTTCCTTTACTTTACTTAAACTTAGCGCCATCAATTCAGCCCGATTAAAATGATTTTGAACCATTAATTGAAGTAAGAGCACCTTTGTCTCAAACGGAAAATGGTCATGTGCTTTGTTAAACACCCAATTTTGCGAACCTGCAAATTTTAATTAAAATTGGCTTTAAGTTGTCAATCAACTACCTTGCCGACTTATCAAAATCACTTCAATTTATCATGAAGTTGCTCATTTTCGGACAAGAAGTCACAATCTAATTAGACCATAACCATATTGTAACGCATTTTACTACTGAAACTCAAAAAATAATATCAAAATTGACCTATTTTCTTAATTTAGGGCAGAGGATTAAGAAAATGAATGAAAATGCATCAGTCATACATGAATTTCAAGGCATATTCCCATTGTTTTTTCTCCATGACCGATGATTTATTCATATAAATATAAAATAGACCCCGTTAAACAACTGTGTCCCCATATATTTTATGTCCCAATCACAGCAAAGTATGGAGTATAAGTGTCGAATCTAGTCAACTTCAACAGTCTTGGAGTGTTCGATCTATAGACGCTTTATTTCTCCACCACTCTGATAGTCACATCGCAGAATTTTCAGTCCGCTTCCTGGGAGGATTGATATTCCTTGATCCCAACGCATTTAGCAAGCACCTACCGGGTTTGGACATTCAGTTAACTTCGAAGTAATGCCATGGAAAGTGCAGGTAATTGGAATTTAAATGATGTTGATAACCTATTAGTGCGCGTAAAAGTGCAGGAAATATTTTGGAACCAAGTAGAAAAGATCATCCCTCTGGAGGTGTCAGAAGTTGGCGTCGACCTCTGTGTTAAAGGTCAGGCTCTAATGGAAGTGACCTGAAGAATTTTGCTGTTAGGACGCACCATAAATTGCATGTTCTAACCTGACGAACCGATAATTTTTGGCATTTATCCGAAAAATGGTAAACTTCCCCCTATTAAAAATAAAAGTAGGGAATACTTGTTTCCTATCGCCCCCTTATAATTTATCCCTAAAAATGCATTTGCATACATTGCAAGTTTTAATTTCGAAATTTTAATGCAAATAAAATAGCGAAAATGCTGTAAATTATTAAAAAGATATACATGAGGCGATAGCCGTAAACGATATTCATTCTAATGTTCAACGATAGCTCCAGTTAAATATAAATAAATCCCATCTAATAAAGTATTAGACATCAAACAAAAAAATGGAAAGTAAATGTTGCTGCAATATTTAAGTTTCAAGATGATGAAGCTGAAATCTGTGAAAAATTTTTCATTGAATAAAACAACTGTAACAACGTAAAGATTACTGAGATAGCCCTCAAAGTTGGGTGGACGCCTCAACCATCCTACCTCGATTAACCTAAGCAAAATCGTGCGTAATCGAACATTCTGGTGAGCGCAATCGTGCGAAAAGAGGGTTTCTCACCTAGTCAGCTATTAATGGGCAGTCAAGTCATGCTTAATGTATTCAATTACCATCATTTATTGCTGGGAGGATAATAATTATCGGTACTAGTCATACTCGCTATAAGTTCTATTGCCTCTATCCCATGGGGATAATAATAAAGTAATAATAAATTTTCATTTTCATTTCACAATAAAATGATGGGTAAATTTGCTCAAAGAAATGTGTTATGATTTGTAAAATAAACAGAAAACCCGATAATTTAATTAAAATAGTCTATTTCAATTTAAAAGCGCTGAATACGATTCATTTTATATAATAAATTAATCTCCAAAGTCGTTTAAGTATGATTTATAAATGTTTTTTATCAGAATAAAAAGAAAATTAATCTTTTTTGTTATCATTATTTGAAGCGGATAATTTAAAAAAGAAAAACTCGCGTGTTTTAAGTGGGTGGTCATTTCTTTAAAGCTAAATATAATCTTATGTCCAGTTCTGGAGTTTGGAAAATTTTAAAATTTAAACGAACAAAGTTGAAATATGTCCTAGAAATTAACTTACAAAAATACGACTGACAAAATAGAATTTTTCACAGAGAGTGATTAGTAAATGCTTGTCAAAAAAACATGATATAAGGCCTTTTGGAATAACTGAAATGAGCTCGTACAAAAAGCATAAAATTTGTAACATATGTATGCTTGTCATTTAAAAATATATAAAATGAAATTTCGAACGAATTCATTTGATTTTATTTAAAGCAATGGAGGACTTACCACATCTCCCTTCAATTCTGCAATCACTCGTTCAAGGCGTTGATCTTGCTGCAAGAAGTACACTCGATAGGTATAATCACTTAAATTATCCTTCTCCGCATGATTTGGAACCCGGAGAGTGCAGCTGAGCGGATACACTTGACTCGATTGAAGAAGTCCACAATTTGTAATCGAATGGAGATCTGTGTCACCAACATCTGACCAGGTCAATTCGCAGTTCGCTAAGGCCTGACACCAGGTCCCTTCGCACAGCGATGGTGGACTTGTCGACGACTGAAAGAGAGATGGTCGCTTTGATTCGTGTGTGTAAAAATAGAGAAAAATTAATGAAGTAGATAAGTGACCACCATTTAATCTTTAAGGGCCGATCAGTTTGGATGTAGATTGTCTCTTCGGTAATTAATCGATCAAGCCCAACACCATGTCTTGAAAATGCACAAGAAATTAAACATCTAGCCTATTGAATTACTAAATTTTCCCATCAGTTCCACAATTACGACCTTAATTAGAATATCTAGGATGCTAGAAAGTATTAATATTATCCTAAATAATGCTAGATAGGATGTTTAAACTTATCAAAACGAACTAATTGCATGTTTTAATTGTTGCCAAAACTTGAATAAAATTGTTTCAACTACAGACATTTCTAATTGTTCTTTTTTCTAGTAGAAAATTGATATTTTAGATTGACTTGAATTGCTTTTCGACATATTATCTCAAATGTGAAACATTTGGAATCCCAGTATATATAAATCATACAAATTTGGTCCGTCATTAATTAAAGGAAATGAATTTTCCAATTAAATAAAGGTTAAAGCGAAATCACATTTACAAATTAAAACTGGACTAATTTAATAGATGTTTTTAAAATAATGGTTCCTTTATATTGTAAATGATAATTCTATTGAAATATATTTCTTAAATTAAATTATTTCTTTTCAATTAAGATAAATTAAAATAAATAAATTGATTTTCTTAAAGTCGTGAAATGATGATTATGAATATTGTCCCCTGTGGCAGCTGATATGAGAAATACTAAAAAAGTCATTGATTTTAAGACTTCTCTCATTTCATTAATATTAACCCAAAGATAATTTAATTTCTTTTTAATTTTTGAAACTGTAGCATGAACTGAAGGCGAGAAGGTCTACCAACTTGCAAATGTTAAAATGTCATCAAATTATGCCCTTTAATTAGCAGAGAACAGAAGGAAGAACAACAACTTGCTTCTCCTCAATTAAAATGAGCCTTTTTTGGGTAAAAATTTAGAGAGTGACTGTGTTTTAACGATTTGTCACCACAAGACTTGCAATGGGACTCTTGGCTACCTTCTTCATGCAAACTAGATCCACTTTCAAGCCTTGAGAGGGAGGACAATTACCACAAGGAAATGCAATAACAAATCTGAAGGGATGTTTTGGCATCACTAAACATCTTATTAACCACTCACAGAAATATGCAGGCACTCAAAGCAATATGCAAGAAATGCTCATCCACTCTTTAATTATGATAATTATTTTGCTCATGTCAGTGCATTATAAGAGATTTATGCAGAGTTATTCTATCGTAAATTTATGACTTTCCATTAGCTGTCCATTAGACAAACCGTAATTGAATACGCCTGTAGCATACCTTTTCGTGATTACTCCAGTGTAAGTTCTTTGTCAAAGGATTATATATTAACACTAAATGGGGTGCGCGATGGACTTATCTCCACGTGGTGCACCCTGGGCAACGTATACTCATACGGCAAAAAAGTCTATTAACTGGCAGTTGACTTCTGACTTCTAACTACCATCACCCCACTGTATGTCATATTCGACCACTTCTACAGTACTCACCTCACCTTTTTCTACTTTTGTGTCCCTCTGTCTCTTTTACATCTTTGAAACACTCTTCCTTTCCCCCCCTTATCTCGGCTTTTTGTCACTTTGATGTCTCTCCTCCTCTCTGTAAAGCCTGAAGTCAACTAAAGAGCTAATGATGACTATCAAAACGTCTGCTATTTGAAATAAATATTAGAAATTGGGTAAAAATCTGTAAAATGGTACAACTTCAGATTATTTTACAACACTATTTACAGAATAATGCGAACTGCTGAATAATGATTAAAATTTTTAATTAGGTGTTCCTGTGAATTTGGCACCGAAACGAATGGTATGAAGAGTGCTTTGGAAGTCACGAAATGTAGCATGCAAAGTAAGCTAACTTGAGGTAATATTAATTAGATTAAATTCTCTGGATGTTGGATTTACGTATTATATTACCTCATTGGCGGGTTCAGCCACAGAGAGAGCCAAATGGACGGCTCGACATTCTTCTCTCTTTACTCTGAGCTCTTATTAAACACACCTCTTAGTCATGCAAATCAACTTCCTCAGATTAAGGTTAGTTTCTTTCTCCTTGTAAGTCTATAATTTGTATTTTTTTGCAGGAACATTCTTACACACGATTTCTACCGACTTAAACAAAGATGTGGTGTTTATATTTCTCCAATTTTGTGCAATTGTGAAAAGTTTAATTCAAACCTTTGCTCATTTTCCCTTTTGAGTCCTCATCCTGCCTTTCCTACCAGGTATGTGCACTTTTCCTTGTCCTACTCAGCTCACTCCCCGCCCTCACTCACTATCAGTGACTGATAAAGTGAGAGGGATGGACATTTGTGTCCTTTTATTTTCGTCAAATACAGTGCACTATTAAATCCTTTAAAGACCTTAACAAAAATACCTTTCTTGCAGTGATTTTAAGCCGTCCAAACGTTTTGTTTTAATCTGTAAATCCAATTTTCTTCTCATCCACATCGTAGTAGAATTTTTCTTTGGAGTAGATGCGGTAATACCACCACCACCACAGAAGATTGATTCGAAAAAATGAGCTGATGGGTGCTACTCAACACAATCAATTTTCCAATGGTTTTATTAATCATTCATCATCATGAAAGAGGCGACGCATCCGTGTTCTTATTGGCTATTAAAATGAAACATCCAGCTGTACAACAAATGGGGTGTGAACGCATGCATAGGTAACACTGCATTAAACTAGTACTTGTGCAATATTAATTAGTCATAACAACGGCAGATAATATTCAATACGCTCTTGTGCTATTCAACTCCCTAAAAGTCTACTTTATTGCCCTTCTATCTTATTGATGCAAATTCTACTTCCACAGACTGCGGTTTAGTGGAAAAATCGCACGCACCTCAAGTCGACTTCGAAAATACCTCAAATTTTTCGATCACTATCGTATTTGAGTATTCCATATAATATGGCCAACTCAACTCTTTTCATAATAAATATATTATAAAACGATTTTATTGGCTCAAAAAGGACTCAATTTCATGAAAAGCTTTCATTTAAACAAATAGGCAAACAAGATATCATTAGATTAATGAAAACTCATGCGCTTCAGGTTATTTCAGATGTCAAAAGAGTGAAAGACAATAGATGAACAAAAAAATTTGACGAGGAGCTAAAATTTTCCCCTTAACTTGTATGTTGGGTTTTGAAAACCAAACAAACTTTGGGGTTATTTAAGTCACGTTACGTAAAGAAAGAATTAATTTTGCACTATAACACGCCCATTAAATTAAAATTTAAAAACGAATTTTTAAATCGGATACCCTAAGAAGAAGTTATTAGAAAAGTGAAATACATAGGTGTTGGGGGGTTGGGGGGGGGGGGGGTTGGGGGGGGGGGGTGTTGGAGGGAGAATTGACTCCTAGCTATATGACTTGTACTAGTACTTTCTTGTGGAAATGACAAGAGCGTAGATTTTATGATTAAATAAACGTTCCACAGAATAATAGCTTGGTTAAAGTACGCCTGAATTTTGAGGGGAATATTGAGACATATTTGAAAACCCTCTACATGTGCTGACAGCGGGACAAAAGTTGTGCAAACACTATAGTTGCAAATCTGCAAAATGTCACCACAACTATTGGTTAAAATGAAGCGGGAAAGCAGTTGTAGCTATTCAGATCCAAAGACAAAAATATGTTGAGAGATTGAAGAAGTGCCGCTGTTTGCAATATGCAATGGCCACAATTGAACTCAGCTAAATGGCTATGCTATAAGCATAGAAAGCCCTCAAAATAATTGTCACGAATTGGGAAATTCCCTTAATAAAACGAAGGAACTGTAATGGTAAGTTTCACTGCAATTTAACATATTAAATGAACATTCGATGAATAATTAGCATTTAGTTATTTAGAAAATGTTTCTTGAATACGGATTTTTCATGTCTATTCAGCGGGTTCGATTGCGGTATGTATGGTGAAGTTCTAGCACATTGGAGAGAGGGGGGAAGGGGTCAAGGGTGGGGGGGGGGGATTCACAATAAGGAATTGATTACCGATATTCACGCGTTTTAATCGATTTTTAATTATGGTACGATAGCCTTAAGCGTGCATAGGTCATTTCATGATTAGTGAGTTACGTATTTAACTATAATATATATATATAGAATTTATCTGTTATATTATAAAACATATTATTTTGTTTTAAATGAAGTCGAAGGAGCGATATTAATTAATATGTGTGTATATTTGATTCGAAGTTGCTTAAATGTATTAAATTAGCTTTTCCATTTGTAAAATGGAGGTAACTTTTCAGGTAAAATTAAATCGCATTCTCTGTGGGTAAATTAAATTCTGATAAATTAAAGCCGACAGTGAATTGGAAAGGTGAGAAATGCAGACCCAATGTAATTATAGTCGATTAGACGCAAGACCGAGGGCAGAACAAGGCCGGAATTATGGCGGAGAAAGGTCTATTTTAGGAGGAGGAGGAGGAGGAGGAGGAGGAGACGGAGGAGGTGAAGGCGAATAAGACGAAGGAACTAACATTTGCGTAATTGTTGCAAAATGGCACCCTGTCCTTCCCTCTCCCATTTCATCCCTCCCTCCCTCCCCCCCCCAACTCTCACTCTCCCTCCCTCCCACCCTCCCTCTCTTCAACTTTCTTCAATCATTTTGCAGCTTTTAGAAATTAGAAAATCCTGGCAATCTTTGCTCCATTTAAAATGAAATTGAACTTAAACTTACTTTTACTTTGTATATTTTTGCTTTTTTTATTATTAATTATCAATTATCAAGGAGTAGGCACTTTATTTTAATTTGCTTAATATCAATTCAATAGCTTTCAAAATTGTTTTGTTTTAACCTCTGCTTAATTTTATTAGCCTATATCAAAAATTCGCCATTAGTTAATATCTTCGAATATTGTTACATAAGGCAACAACAAAATAATATTCCCCTTTTGCATTAATGCGTGTTTAACTCTCGTTCATGTCTGATGAAACAATTTTATTTGTCGAGTTGTTTAAATTGGGTAATTTATCACCTTTTTCCAGATGATTGGGTCTTTCAAACAAATTCCACTTGACTGCTTTGCGTCAAAATTTAATCTTCAATGCCAGTGAATTACCATTTGCTTGCAAGGCAATGCCATTTACGATTTAGTGATTTGTTTCCGGTCAAGCTCAATATATTTTCTAGTGTAGCGGCTATAAAAACAACGAGAAGGTTCAACTCAAAACCTTTTTTTAATTTAAAGCAGGTGAACCATGTTGAGTCCATTTTGCGAATAACGATTATTAATGTTACTTTTGATTGGGCTTAATGAAGCTAGGCGTATTTTTTTTCATTGATTAAGTGGCAAATCGAATTTTTTAATGATTGATTGACACTTTTATGGGAGCTATTGCAACATGAAGTGGTGTGTTTAAGCTGTTTGAGTCCATTTTTACGCTAAGAATGTAAGGTGTACGATTGTACTTTTTTCTTCGCAAAAAAATGGGAAACATGTGAAAAGAAGTGGCAATCCAAACTTTCATTGAATAAGTAGAACCGGTTGGTGAGTGCTGAATAGAGTGGAAGGGAATTGATTGGAATCCAGCTAACGATTCAGGAAATTTGAAGGTACAGCCCAAATCAAACGAATAAAATGAAGTACGACTCTCTGCTACCTCGGGGTTGTTCACAACGCCTTTTAGCCATCTCCTCTCTGTCTCTCTGCTTATCCCACAAGCGGGAAATGGTGGGAGGGGGGGGGGAGGATTTTATTGGCACTGCTGTGACTTACAAAAATGTGTATTCAATTTTGAAAAAGCCGGGGG